GGGGGGGGGTGTGTGTAGGGCGTGCCTTTGTTCTGAGTTGTTGGGCACCAAATGGACCCCTTCCTTTCAGTCAGGGACAGATCAAACAAAGTGTTTAAGACTAGGTGGTGAGTTTATGTATGAAAGATTGCTTCACCGAGGGTTTGTCTCAGGTGAAGCTGTTGGCGATCACCTGGTGAGGTTCTTCCACTCGGAATAATTTTGAGGGGTTTATGTAATATGAATTTTAAAATTAAATAAATAAAAGATTTCTATTTTTCAGTTATGATTAATTTTACCTTGAATGTCATATTTGGTTTTTCCATTACATCGATGTCTTTTTGTCTGCGCTTAACATTCTCTGTCATTCCTATATAAACAGTTGTGTATGTGTCGTGGCTTACCCTTTATCCTTCTCCCTTGAAAACCCTGCCTTCATTTCTCCTTCATCTTCTAACAATACTTGACTTACTCTCCTCAGACCTTTTTCTGATGGCGTAGAAATATTCCCAGGAGACTTGAGGTTCTATTCCCGCCGCAGAATTCAAGATCTCCACATCCTTGATTCTTCGATTTGCCTCCGACTAGCTGCCAGTCACGATCGAGCCATGGATTGATTTGGTACTGACTTGGTTTTTTACAAGAAACAATTCAAACAGGGTTTTTGGTTGCCGTTGTGCAAGGAGCTGCGGCCGATTTTCAACTACTATGGGGTTATTCCTGCTCAGGTTCTCCCAAACTCATAAGCCATTATCATGACCATCATCCTTCTCTGTCAAAAAGATGAAGATCCCTTGGGCAATCAAACTGTTTAACAACTTTTCCTCATTTAGGATTGGTTGAGACGGGTACGTCCAGTTCACTGACGGTGCCAAGGTTTAATTGTTAGGCCTTGAGAACAAAATAAATGATTAGAAAATCAAATTCTCGATCGCTTCATGCGTAGGCAATAGGGTGATTTGTGCTCTTCTGATCGAATATAGATCTACCTCAATCCTAAGGTTGTCGAACACATGATCTGACCAAACGGAACTAACACAATTACCAATGGTTTGGGCACTTTCATATCTATCCCCTCCTGCTTTCATCTGATTATGTATCTAATTAGTTTAATTTCATGCAAATTACTAAGTTATAACAAGCCGTACATTTGTAATTAAAAAGTTGTTAAATCATTATTAATTAAATATTTTATTGCTTTTAACAAAACTGCTGGTTAATAAATAATGTTTGAATATGTTTAATTTTATATTAAGTTTTTAATCTATTCAATTTTATTTAATTATGTAAATAAGTAATTATAAACAGGCCTACAATTAATAGGTGTACTTGCTCTCGTGGGCTCTGCTTGTTAATTATTTTTGCCAACGGTGTAAGTCCACTGCCATGTGAAATATGTCTGATTTACGAAAATTAAAAAATGAGGATTATAATAAAAAAAATCGAAGCAAATATGTTTTCTAACAACATTATTTAATTCAAATTGTAAACAGCATAATTTTAATTTTAATTTTAATTTTATACCTATATATGGGGCTAATAGTCAACAAAATAAATGCACAATCAAACATAATAAGAAGGTGGATGACTCCTGAAAGAGATCTTGTTTGCCTTTAAGTGTTTATCAAACTCGTACATATCTACTAGCAAAGCAGCGTAAATGAACCTCTCTCAGGATCATTCGAATCATCGCTCTGTTGAGATACTTTTTGAGCATCCAAGCCAATTGGAGCTTCTTAAGTCGGAGCGCATGCATGATAAGCAGTGGCAACTGACTCCACTGAACATCATGTTAAACATATCCTCAAGTTCAAGATTAATGCTAGAAAGTTTGAATTTTTTTTGCATTTTGGCAAGTACATTTCAATGAAGTGAAAGCAATAATCATGTTAACACGAACATTTTCAAAAAGTTATATGACATTGAAATTTAAAAAAGCAACTTCACCTCCAGTTTTCTTTCCACCAATCTTTTAAAGTATCTACAACCCTATTTCTATAGTCCTAACCCAATCGGGTTGACCTACATTTCAAATCTTTCCACAGCGTCCAACCCTCAACCCTTTTTTAGTTGTTCACACTTATTTTTTAATCGACTCGTATCAAAATCTTCCAGTTTCTCGTGAAAATTATAGGTCGATTACCTATTTCGACCTCTTTTAGATAGGCATTACAAAAGACAAGCAAAACTTCTCTATCTCGTGTAGCAGACAAACCACGTTCTCTTGATTTGTCCATATCAATTCGCTAACAAATAAATAATAAATAAAGTTGCGAGAAAATATAAGTTGTAAAAATTTGGAAAAAAGAAAGTTTAAATTTTTGGAAAAAAAAAATCATGACTCAAGAGCCAATATAAAGAATTAAAAAATCTGTCATCAAACCATCAAAATAAGACAAAAGATCCACAGAGAAGGTGATCTTGATTGCCTTACATTAGTATAAGACAAACTCCTATACATCAAAGCACATGTACAATCACGTATACAAACCCTCAGATAAAATTACAATCACGCCCTCGCTCCTCCCAACCCCCTTTATTCTATTCCAAGAGACAACCTTTTCACCAGGAGACACGCCTCTTCAAAAGAAACTCCAACTCCCCAGATATGAGCCATATCTAACAGCACATACCAACAAAAAGGCCTTCCAGAAAAACTCCAAGGTAGTATAACTCATCATTGCCTCATAAGTGTCCCCCCGTACCTCACACAAACCACCCCAACAACCTCATCACCCAACCACCCACCCATCATGTTCATGAGTTCATATTCCAACAAAGGAAATCAAGGAAATAAGAATTCCACAAATATATGTCATAACTGAACACGCATGAACATGCACATATGGAGAAGACACCAAAGAAACCAAAATCCCACATATTTACCTTATTCAAACACATTAACTCACATTTTTGTGTACCAAAGAAATTGAAGAGCCAAAAAAACTCACATAAATATGCCATTACCAAACACATTCATACGCACACAGGAAGAGAGCCCCATAAGCTCCCAATTCTCATATCACATTTCCATATCGAAGGAAACAAAAAAAATAAAAATCCCGGCATAGATGCCAAAACCAAATACACTCAAATGCACACATAAGGAGGAGAGCTCCACAAGTATACTCATGCTCATCAACTAACATATTGGCATTCCAAAGAAAGTATAAAAATCAAAATTTCTCACATATATGTCATAACAAACCACACCCAAACACACATAACGAGAGAGCCCCAAAAAATATAGAATCTCTCGGATATATCATAACCGAACACACCCAAACACATCAACTCACATTTTGGCATATCAAAGAAACCGAAGAACCAATAAAATTAACATATATATGTCATTGCGATACACACCCCTGAAATATAAACGAGCAGAACACGAGCGCACGAGCGAGCCCGGGCTCAGCTCGTGTTCGGCTTATTTATATTTCGAGTTCAAGAAAATGTGTTCGTGTTCGACTAATTTGCTTAGCTAGACGAACAGCGAGCCGAACACGAGCTGTTCACAAACAAAGAGTCCTGTTTACAACCCTAATCACATAGGCATAAGATGTTAAGGATTGGGGCAAGATTTAAAAATTATTATTTATATTAAAACATCATTTAAATTTAATTTGATAATTTTTATTCTATTTTTGTAATTAATACTTTTAATTGATTGTAAATCTTTGTAGCCTTATAGACAATTACATTTTTTAAAAAATATTATTCATTACTATATATATATATAAATATATAATTGATGAGTAGCATTTTGAGCTAAACTGAGCCGAACAAGAACAAAAAAAATCTTTGTTCGTGTTCGGCTCATTAACTTAGTGAAAGAGCCGAACACGAACTTCTTAACAAGTCAAACACGAGCTATTCACGAATAACAAGTCTTTTTTACAGCTTTACTTCCAATGCACATTTCACATTTACCTGTCGAAAAAACCCCAAAGAGAAAAAACAAAGATCCTCCAATAGAAGTCAAAACCAAACATGTCTAAATGCACAAAAAAATGAAGAGAACTCCATAAGCCCCAACCCTAATGAAAATTCACATTTTGGCATACCAAAGAAATGGAAATAAAAAAGAGAAAGAGAGAAGACACTCACATAAAAGCCATAAGCAAATCACAACACAGTAGAAACCAGTCCCAGAACGGAGAGGAGAGAAATGAAAATTTGCATAAACCTTAACGATATATATAGCTTTTGTTCATATCTCATAAGCTTTGCATGCCTCATATTTAATTATTTAAATCATAGATCTAATTAATACATAGCTATTACATCAATTTCTAGAAGGACAAATTATAAAACATAATTCAAACTTTGTAAACTTTAAGAAGCCACCGCTTGCTCAAACCAAACAGTCCACGGATCTTCTTACACCATCTTAAAACTATTTCTTTTGATTAAATATAAAAAGCATTTTCATTGTACTGATTCATTACATCAGGTCATTAGCCCATAGTTTTTTTCTTCAAATTTACACATAATTACTTAAAAGGGGCATTTACATACATACCACCCAATTCTTATGCACGCTTACACCTAACACCTAAATTTCACATTTTACACATATACCACCCAAAATCTCTCATATCAAGTCAAAATAACCATTACTTTAAGTTCTTAAGCTCTAAAAAGTGAAATGCACAGTTTCATATCAAGCTAAGGGGGCACGTGTAAAAATTGTGTTTGTGTAACTCAAATCAAAGCCAATATAATATAATAAAAATTTTAAAAATATTATCATTATTACAAATATTACTTGTACTGCAGATTAGGGCTGTCAAAACGATTTATTGTTCGCTAACAACTCGTGTTCAACTCATTAAGAAGCTCGTGTTCGGCTTATTCTCTAAATTAACGAGCCGAACATGAACAACACGAACAAATATTTGCTCAGTCGTGCTTGGCTCGTTTTGGCTCGAAATACTACTAATCAATTATATATATATATATATATATCTGTATTTTTAAAAAAATTAATTGACTACAAGGCTACAAAGATTTATAATCAATTAATAGTATTAATTAAGAAAATAGAATAAAAATTATTAAACTAGATTCAAATGGTGTTTTAAATATTGTCTCAATCCTTAACATCTTATCGCTACGTGATTAGGATTGTCAAAACGACTTTTTGTTCGTGAACGGTTGGCGTTCAGCTCGCTAAGCAAACGAGCCGAACACGAACACACTTTTGAGCTTGAAATATAAACGAGCCGAACACGAGATGAGTCTGGGCTCGCTCGTGTTTGGCTTGTTAAAACCTCTACTGCAGATGCAAAGATAATGGAAGCAAATATGTAAAAGGAACAATAGCACCCAGCTTGGTAATTCGAAATAATCAGAACGTAGTTTTGATCGACTATTCTAACAAATAACTTTAATTTCATTTCATGAATACAATAAAGATACTGTTCACAATCAATAAGCCATATTAACCCAAATCTCTGCCTCCTACACAGCAGTTTGAACTCACATGGTTTAAAAATGAAACCCACAAAACAATAATTACAACAGACATTTTAAATATTAGAAAATTATGGGAAGTGAATGATATGTAATACAGCAGTTTAGTGCCCTTCAGCACATCACTTGATTCCTGAAGAGAAACAATAAGAATTTAAGAACTTACCAGAACAAAATTCAAATTATGTAAGAAAAAAATAGTGAATTTATTAAAGCAGGAATCAAGAGGGAAATATAGTGATAAAAACCTTTTTAGCCCATCCACAATTTTAATTGCCTGTCCTTGCCACCAGATGCAACCTTCTCACCATCTGGACTCCAATCCACAGCAAAAACCTTGAAGAAAAAGAGGAGGGGTCAAGGAAAAAAAAAATATAGCCGATAGATCTGGTTTCAATTCAGTTTTGATGATTTTGGGTTGGCTCGGTTTGCTCAGAAATTAAATCAGTTGATATTTTGGGTTTTGACATGATTTTAAAGAGTTTAAGTGACGTTTAGCACGAATACAAGGAATTTTACCCGAAATTCATAGATTTTAGATAAAATTTCACTAGTGCTCTCAGCATTTGTCAAAATTAATCATAGTTTTATTAATTGAGATATCATCAAGTAACATGAGTTGTAGTACCTTGAACTGATATTATTAGATAACCTTGAGTATTTCATGACTTAAAGTATATTTTGAAATATGTACAGCAACAACAACAACAACAAGCCTTTGTTTCGCTGAGTGGGGTCGAAAAAGAAAATGCTAATGGAAGCTCAACATGGAACTATAAAAATTAAAACTTTTGCAATGGTACCGAATGGAAGAACAAGTTCTAGAACCTTTGATTGTAAGTTATTTCAGGAGAAGTTTGGCACAGCAATTCCAAAATCAGAACTTTGGAAATAATAGAATACCTCATCTGCGTGACCTGGAAGATCTTGCTTTAACTTTTGTGTTCGGATATCCCAAACCTAGTTAATTAGCCATATAAAAAAGTGAATGCAGTATTTGCAGTTAAGAAATATAATATTTACAAGAAATCTTTGATAGAACAAATTGCAAAGAAAGATGAGAAATTATTTTTACAAAAGACCAAAAGAAATTGAAGTTTGAGCGGATTACCTTAAGCGTAGAGTCTTTACTTCCACTCAGAAGAAGCCTGCTATCGGCTGACCAGCTAAACAAATTGTATAGATCAGTACGTAAACTTGTGTAGAGAGAGAGAGAGAAAGAGAGAGATTCACATAAAAACCACTCAATTCCTATGTATTTACACATCTAACAACTAAACTTCAATTTTTACATACACGCCACTTTACATATGCATGAAATGGCGCATTTCACCTTCTGAAGTTAAAATAGTGATATTCTTTATGTGATGGAAGATTTGAGTGATATTAATGTAAAAAGAAAAATTTAAGTGTTAGATTTTGAGTGGTATGTGTATATATATAGAGAGAGAGAGAGATAAAATATTGACCTGATCTGATATACTGGTCCAACGTGTCCTCTGAAGGATGCAACAAATTTCCCAGTGACCCCATTCCACAACTTGACCGATTTGTCAAATGAAGCACTAGCCAACCATTGTCCATCAGGAGAGAAGCATACATGGTTTACAAGCTGCAAAAATAGAGAAAAAATCTCAGCTGGAGCCCAAAACTTCTGAAATCTCACGTTTATATATATAAAAGATTTCATTTTTATAGGATGGTAAGGTATCGTCTACACGTGTAAAAAATCTGAAAATTGCTCAAAACCAAAAGCTTTAATCATCATCTTATCATTAGCATCACACCAACAATTTGAGGTTGGTTTCAAGAACTATCATTTATTCCTGCTAATGTTGCATGAGATTTTAAACTCATTCCATGCAAATCGTTTTACACAATTAAATTCATATTACCATTTGGTTTACAATTTTTTTTTTAAATTTTCTGACCAATCCGTTGAATAAATTTTAATTGGCAATTTAATTGGTGCATTTTGTTACGCGTTTGCAGAACCATGTATCTAATAGGTGCTCCAATATGTTAAGTCTCCTCTAATGTAAAATGGATCCTGAAAAGCTGATAATTCAGTTATGATATGACCTGGACCAGGAACAGAGGCGGGTTGGGGACAGTGTTAAAAGCTTCACTATCAAGTTGATGGATGACCGATATAAGCAAAAGAGAATTTACAAACATCCACACATTTCTTACATATTTACATATCTAACACCAAAACTTACATATTTACAGTTATAACACTTTTTTCATAAACCATTTTAAAAGTGATAGTGATATTTTTTTATGTGATATTAAAGATTTGAATATGTACATAAATCATTTCTCTCCAATCTATCATATTGAGTGTCATATTTTCATTTAATTCTAATCAAGTAAGGCCATTTTATACAACATGCCCAAGTCTTTTAAGTCTACCTCTACCGTTCTTAACATTAGGCAAATCTAAGACATCTACTCTCCTAACAGGGTCATCAAATGATGAACATTTAATGTGACCAAACGATCTAAGGCAGCTCTCTCCAATATTGTCTGCCACTGAAGCTACTCCAACCCTTTCAAAGACATATTCATTTCGCATTTTGTCTCTAAGTGTAAATTCATTCATCCACCTACGCATTCTCATCTCAACAAAACTTATTTTATGCTTCTCTTACGCAGACCGACATTCTCTGTTACCATAAAGCATTGCAGGTTTCACCATCTTATAAAATCTTATTTTTTTCAGTTTAAGCAGTACTTTTCTATCACACAATAAGCCCAATGCATTCCTCCACTTCAACCAGCCAATGTGAATTCTACTAATAACATCCACATCTATATCACCATCACTTTGAACAATAGACTCGAAATATTTAAAATGTCCACTCTTTTCAATGACTTGATCATCCATGTTACAAACCCGTCACAAGATCTGATCTACTAAAACTAAATTCCATATTTTCAGTTTTAGATCTATTCAAACGAAAGTTTTTAGAATCTAAAGTCAACTTCCATAATTCAAGTTCTTTTTAACACCCTCTAGTCTTATCCAAAAAAAGGAAATCATCAACGAAACACACACACCAAGGTACATCCTCCTGTAAATATCTAGTAAGAACATTCATAATTAAAGCAAAAACATATAGCCTTAAAACCGATCCCTAATGTAATCCAACTAAAATAAGAAAATACTTTGTCAATCCTCTTTGTGTCGAACAAGTAACAATTCTAATATACATATCTTTAATGGCTTGCATATAAGCAATATCTACACCTTTCTTTTTTAGAACACTCCAAAGTACTTTCTTTGGAATCTTATCATAAGTTTTTTCTAAATCAACAAAAATCATATGTAGATCAACCTTTCTCTCTCCGTAGATCTCCATTAAACCTCTCAATAAATTTATAGCTTCCATAATAGATTTTCCCTGCATTAATCCCAATTGATTTTAAAAATTTTTTTGTAACAAGTCCTAACCTATGTTCAATTAATCTCTCCAACTTTAAAGTATAGCACATTAACTTAATTTCTCTATAATTTGCACACTCTTGTGCATCTCATTTATTCTTTAAAAAAAAAATCAATTGGCTCTTTCACTACTCATCAAGCATCTTTTTAATTTTAAAAATAATAATAAAAATTTTAGCATGACAAGAAATTCTTAGTTCTTAATATTTTCACACTGTTATTAGAATATCATCATATCCTACTTTTTTTTTCTACACATAAATTTCTTTAAAGCCTCCTCAACTTCCACGCTATTAATGCAACGATAGAAATAAAAAAATTTGTTATTATTAAGATATTAATATCACTAAAGTCGATTGTATTTTCACAATCTTCATGAAAAAGTTTAACAAAATCTCGCACCCACCTATATTAATTATCCTCATCTAAGAAAAGCATTTTTTTTTTATTTTCATCCTTAATACGCTTACTTAAACTAAATTTTATCTTTGTCTAGCTAGTTTATACATATATCTTTCACATTCTTTAGTATCTAATTTATTATAAAAATCACTAAAAGCAAAACTTTTAACATCACAAATAAAATGTTAGATATGTAAATACAAAAAATTAGTGTGGTATGTAAATGCCCCCAATCAATTAACAGCAAAATAGTGCTCCCACCGGTTATAGTTCAAGCACGAAAGAAAGGCAAGTGCGAACAAGAAGCCTATTTTTTTTGCTATTTCGGTTTCACAACACAGAGACAGTGAAATCCCAGAAGACAGGTCTCTTTTTTATTAAAAAGCAAATTATCTGTTGCTGTTCTTTCGCAAGTTTTTCTTAAATGAAAGGGATCAGAACAAAATTATCAAAATGAATTATGAAAGAAAAATGCAATAATATTACTTGATTTACATTAATTATAATCTTATCTTTTATATGGGAAAAAGTTACGTAAGGTGTATTTACTCTTAACTCATGCAACCTATGGACTAACAATATAAAGTAGATTGTATCTACAACAGTCAAATTAAGGCAGGTTATTAATTCAGATATAAGCATTTCTATGGAGAATAATATATTAGATATTTTAAATAAATCTAATATTTTTCAATACTGAAAAAATGTACTATTAGTTAAACCATAAAATGTTCACATTTCGTGTAACATACAACAATAACAATAAAAGTTAAGTTGACATTGTTTAATAGTTGAATTAACCAATAGGGTAATTTGTATATTTATTTTTTTCTTTTGTTTGAACTGCTTTTCTATTTTGTTTTGTTGGAGTAGTTTTACAAAATTAACAATTGTTGTCATGGGAGGAGATAAACCTGAACTTGGGAGGATTTCCCAGCTTCTCAAAATGAATTGAGAGAAGGTGATCATAGTGCAGCATGGGATGTTGAAGTTGTGGTAGATAAAAAAGATATCAAAATAACTAGCATAGAAAAATAATTGCAACGTGACCAAAGAGCTTCCAAAAATTAAATAATTATACGAAATATAGAGAGGCTCAAGTATCCTGCATTTATCATCTAAATAATACTTTACACGGGTGCATCATAATTTCAAAGGACGATTTACAAGCATACCACTCAATTCCTATACATTTACATATCTAACACCTAAACTTCAATATTACATATATACCACCTTACCTATGCATGAAAAGGAGTATTCAGTTCTTAAAAGTTAAAATAGTTGTATTTTCTATGTGATATGAAAGATTTGGGTGGTATAAATGCAAAATGCAAAATTTAAGAGTTAGATATGTAAATACATAGGAATTGGATGGTATGCAAGTAAATGCCCAAGTTTCTAAAATTGCAGTTAGAAAACTAACTGAAAATCCTTCCAAACAATTATGTTAAGGAAGAATATTATGGAGAATTAAAAGAAAAACAATAAGAAAGCTACAATCGGAACATTTATGCAATATAAATGTGTTAATGCACAAAAGAAATAAATGATAGGAAGTTAAATGTATTAAAAATGTGTTAATACGTAAGTATGCTAAAAATAGCAAGGATCTAATTACAAATGATTATATCAGAGAGATAATGACAGTGACACTTATTAAGATGGTGAAAAATACATAAGGTAGTTTATGAATCTATAATAGGGTAAAATATGAATCAATAAACCGAAAAAATAGTACAAGGGACTAGGAAGAAAAGGCTATATATAAGGTGACATAGCAATAAGTTCAACAAAAAGATGTGCCAAATAAAATTGGCAACTCATGCAGAATTTCACAAGAATGATTGAAAGCGCATTCAATTTTGCTGCGTCTTGTATAACAAAGAAAATGAAAAGAACTGACCATTCAACATCGCCTGTACCTGTTGGTGACCCGTCAAGCGGGCCTTTGGCTGTTTACTGATAGCAGGTTCCCAGAGAATCATAGTAAAATCATCAGAACCTGAAACTAGTCTTTCAGGAGCATTGCTCTTCATTTTGTTGTATTTTTTAAGAGCTGCCTAAGACCAAGAAAAAAGGAGGATCAATGGAAGTAAAAATATAGTCAACTTTAATTGCAAAAATAGAAAGTGTATACATAAAAGATGTGTCGTATGATGAAATTCTACTATAATCAATCCCTTTTAATCAGCGACAAAAGTAATTCAGTAACTCTTAACAGTTATAAAGTGCTAACAATGAAATTATTACGACTTAAAAACTTTTACAAACTCCATAAAAAAAGCAACAACAATGCTGTGGATTTTAGCATGACAAGCAGTAATATTATCATCAATACCTACAGAAGCAAAAAATTGATGAAGCAAGTAAACCGATTTCATGAAATACAAAAAAAAAAAAAAAAAAAAAAAAAAACAATATCCAAATTGGATTAAAAATGTAAACTATCAAAATTTGTTTGTTTGTTGTAGGCAAAGTTAAGAGAAGGGAGAGAAGAATACCTCCTTCATCTCCTCTGCAGATGAATATGTTTTACCAGTATGATCAAATGCACCAGTTCGCAGGGTGTATTCCGTACTCAAAGCGAGAGAGTTGACCCAATGCCCATGACCCTGAAATCAAGATACAAAATATCATGCACAGTACTTAACAGGGTTTTATTCATGATTTTGCCTGCATAAACCAAAACTGAGTCATAGTTTGAAATAAACATTAGCTATTGCTTATACACGAACACATAGTTGTAAGTTCAGGATTTGAAATAATTGTTTTAGGAAATTTACATATGTAGCCCACAATTCTTAGGTATTTACATATCTCACACTTAAACTTTCATATTTACATATATGGCACTTTGGTGCTTAAAACTTATGCATGAAAAAGTGTATTTGAATTTTAAAAAATAGTAATAGTGCTATTTTTAATGTGATATCAAAAACTTGAGTGCTATGTGTGTAATATGAAAGTTTAGGAGTGAAATATGTAAACACATAAGAATAGTGAGCTATGTATGCATGCGTGTAAATGCCCTTTTTTTTCCCAACAAAAGATCTGCTGAATGTTGCCTTGGCGTATAAAAATGATCGACAGATCTAGCATATCCCAACAGCCTATAGATATGCTTTAAAAAGCAAAGCCAACGGGAAGAAGTACAGCTTACAGAAAAAGGGCTACTGTGGCAAGAAAAACAGTTCAAAAAATCATGAAGAGGCTTTGTTCCCACTCAATTTTCATAATCATTAAAAAGATGTAACTTTAAGAATCTATCCTAAATAGATTGTCAGAATTAAGATTCTGACAACAAAAATAGACTCGTTAGATTGGCCAATTGTGGCAGGAAGGTCAGTAAAGAAAAAAAAAAGGTTTTTTTTATCTGTTTTCCTCGCTACAATCTTAGTACCGAAGTTGGAAAAAGTATGTTTTCTAGTGTCCGTAAAGAAATTATGGAAAAAGTAATCATTCTTTGGCCTAAACAAAATCCTTCTATTTTACAGTAGCTTATATTGGTGTAAAACGAACGGTAAAACAAACCATTAGTTAATCAAGCCCTTTGAGAAGATGGAATAGAGAGCACTTATTACTTTTCTGAGGCTAAATAAAATACAAAATCTCTCCAAACTAAATATATTAAAGAAGTAGATGACTCAACGTTCATTCACTAGTTTCACAAGCAAAAAGGTTCTAATGAAGTACCTTCAACTCACGGATCAACTTTCCTTGTGAAGTTTCCCACACCTTTATTGTACAATCCTGAGAACTGCATGAGTTTTAGATCCTCTAGTTATACAAAACACTCATAAATTGAAGTAAAAAATAAAATATCATTTAAGAAAATAAAACTACAATAATTTAATAATTAAATTTATGTTTAGATGTCAGTTTCAAAAAGCATAACCAGATAATCCAAGAAACTGGATAGGAATGCTTCAAATGCTTATTCAAGTATAATATAAAAACAAATTATTAGAGTAATCCAAGTAAACTTGCTGTGATACTACCCATCAAATCTGACGAATTAATCCTAAAGCGCTAATAAGCCAACTAGGAATGTTGTCAAATTTCAATTGTCACAAATTGCAGGAAAAATAGAGTGACAACTGAACCCCTTATCATTTAGACAATTTTATCAGCACTAACAACAAAATTCAAGAACTAAGCACAATAAACTCAATCAAGAAAGTTGGCAAAAATGGAGGGACATGTTGATGCAAATTTACTAATAGAAGTTTACAAAATAGGAAAGGGTTACAGTGACAAAATAGAGCGGAATTGGAAAACTTAGCATGGGTTAAAGGAATAGTCATACTTGGAGAAAAAGTTGCAGAAATGATTTTACAATTTAGTGTTTCTCGGTATGGAAAGAACACCACAGAAAATAACCAAAAGATGAACAAAAGTTTCAGGAAAACGAGAAAAACAAAAGTAATTTCTTAGAAATGGCTTTCTTTATGTTCGCGCATAATTTACATACAAATTAATAGTCAAAATCAAACCATCTGAAGTCATTCAGTTGGTTCTAAAGATAATTAGTTATTTAAAAAAAAAAATTCATAAGGGACTCCTTCAGTTCTCTTTTTGCAAATTTCCCAATGTACATACAAGAAGGCAAGCCCATCCTCGAAAATTTAGACCAAACCGCAAGTTTTAATCATAAAAAAATAAAACTAAATATTATTATAAAAAGCACAGCGGAAAAGTAGAAATGTACCTTGTATATATCACTCCATCACCACCCCACTTAACACATGTCACTGCCAGAGTGTGACCTGTAAGAGAAATAGTGCACCTTCTCAAAGATATATCCCAAATTCGGGCATCCCCATCCTTGCTCGAACTAACAAAACGACGGCATGGAGCTTGTAAGTGTGCAGGTTCCCAAGAAATAGCAGTAATCCACTTTTTGTGACCCTGAGGTACAACAGAGGAAGCAATGTTTAAGAATAAAAAAAGAGTTTACATAATGAAAACTGATAAAAAAAGGGTAAAATTCACAAATAATAATCAACTCCGCTTCAAAAAATAATCCAACCATTCATAATTGATGAATGAGCATACATTCACGCAAGCTTGTCACAAGTTTGTGTCAAAGTGTGGATACATGCACTAAAACAGAGTAGCTTCTACAATATATGGACAACCATCTGAACATATATTAGAAAATTATTTATTTTGAGTAAAAAATAGATGATATTGGAATGAAAATTTGTAAAAGCAGTTAAAGTTACTCAAAAAACATAAATGTCAAGTCCCTAAATGTTGATAGGACAATATTTATGTTAGACAAACAAAAAGCAGATACCCTTGATTTCCTGTCCTTTTGAAAAAAGAATTCAATGAATACTTCGTCTTGCCATGCATGGAAGACTCTTAATGCTGCTTAAAAAAGGAATACTCCAGCAGCTGTCAATGGAGAGCATAAAATGCTTCAATCTCTTAATTTTGGATGTGCTAATAAGGTGTACAATGTATAATTGGCTGTCGAATGGGCAGCTGGTGTTGTAAGCGTTATAACTACCATCTGATTTACCATGGATTGCTAGTTAGGAAACATTATATATTCAAAATATGTCCAGCTTTCATATTTCCTTACTAGGAATATCCAATAAAGTTTATACTGAGTGTTATTAGGTAAGAGAGAGGGTTTTCCCATCATGATAATAAGGCCATGTATTTGGTTTTTCAAGCTGTCTTGTAAACTTTCTATCCAATATTTTTTATTTTTTCTAATTTTTAACATGGTATCAGAGAGGGAAAACTACACCAAAATCCTTCAATGATGAAGCACAGCATAGCCAGCAGAAAAGATAGCCCAACAGGCCAACACGAAAAGTTAGTCCCAATCCAAGTGTTAACTCACCAACAATTTAAGTGGGAAGGAAGGTCCCATTTTCCAAATCACAAGACGCAAACTCAATGGCCACAATTTCATCCAGTATTCACAATTTGTCATGACGCATTTACGTGGGAGAGTTAAGGAAGTTTATTTCACAAAGGTTTATTTCACGTGGGAGAGGTAAGGAAGTTTATTTCACAAAGGTTGCCACACTTCCAATCATCGGAGACCCACAATCCAAGCTATGAAAGTTGGAAAATTGCATAGCATGGTGATGTCGATCAACAAGACGAATGAGATAAAAGAAACTTCATGTATTACAAAACTGCACAAGAGATGATATGCAACAGAAGAAACATAAAAAAAATTAATAAAAAATAAAAAATAAAAATTTTGTAAGTTTTTGAAAACAAGGCAACTCTCCATGACCTAAGGGAAGGTGATCTTCTTTATAACAGCATACTTAAAATAATCTTATTAGAAATGGTACAAGCTTGATATGCTTGAAGACTTTGAAATGGAATTATTCAAAGGGTAGCCAATGTTACCCAGAAAGTCATTAAGAAAGAAAATGTCTACAAGTGTCTACATAGGATTCAACAAGGAGCTTGATCAAGTCCATGGGAGAATCCTGAGTAAGAAAACCTCTTCAAAGCATCCAAAAAGGCCTTCTCGAAAGCCAAAAGAAAAAGTAAGCGGAAAGAAAGTTACATTAGTAGCTAATTATAACTCTAAAAGTTATAATCTTGTGCTTTGTAGCCTTTACTTCTCCAATGACGATCAAAAAAGAAAAAAAATAATATGTAAAACATTGTTGGAAGATTGCACATACCAAAGAAACATCTTGGAAAATTCACAGAAAATCAGTAAACTAGAAACCCACAAGCAATATCTAAGACAAGGATCAATGTGGCAATGTTGATGTCACAACCAAGATTAAAACCTATGGAACCAAGCCCATTCAGCAAGGATCAAATTGATGCTCCATAAGTTACAAAACACCATCTCTTCATTAGCACAAAAGATAATTTTTTTAACTTCTAAGATGTTATAAAAAAAAATGTAGACCTTGGATTATAAAATTAGGTGAATTAGATCACATGACAATAAAAGCATTTATATTTTATAAATACAAACCCTGTAACGAACACCTCTGCTCAGATAGGAGATGGATGGCTCTCTCTTAAATTTGATTGCATTGGACCTATTATTATTACTTAAAAATCTAATATTTAACATTGTCCTCTGAGGCTAAATAGTAATTTGTAGTCCATAAGCAAATTAACTATAGAACTTAACTGTATGATTAGAATTTAATCTAACATATGTTTTACAGATTTTGAATTAAAGAAAATTGATTGAAAATGCTAAGAATTTTGCAAGATTTCATCATCGTGAAAATAAGAATCCAGGAAAACAGTTAAATGGCTAAAGATGCGTGCATGATCTCACAGCCGTGAAAAAAAGAATCCAGGAAAAAGTTTAAAAAATGGCTACCAAGCACTACCCATAATTATCAATCAAGAAATGCCATCATGTTATGGCACTATCAATTAATTCATACGTCACTATTCTATTAAAATTTTAACAAATTTCTTACTGTAAAGTTTGCTAAACATCCAAATATGTTTATAGTTCTTATACAAACCAACTAATGGTGATGGGCCCAAGTGTTGGCCATTTGAAGGGATTAATTGTTAAAAAAATAGCTATGGATTTTTTATTTAGGGGTCATTTGGTCGGATGCAAAAGGAGTGCATTACATTCCTTTTGGATGGCTTTTAGGAATTCAAGCGTTTGGCATGGAGAATTACAAATTTAACAAAAAATAGGAATGAATTTATAAATCATTCCTTGTTTCTATTTCAATGTATTTAAATTTTGATGGATTTGGCCGAATTTCAAACATATGGCTCTATGCAAGGTGTTGTCGGCTGCTACCAATCACAATCACCTCGCCCCACAGTCGGTCGTCGGCCATCTGCCGGCCATCTGCCGCCACCGACCTCCACAACCAACCACAAGTGACTGCCTACTGCTGACAAACACAGCCACCTCCAGCCACAGCCCTCCGGCCACCCACCGTCAACTACTTGCAGTCGGCCACCAGCCACAACCACCTTCTACCACCACTACTGCCATAGGTCACTCCTGTCGTTGGCAACCACCACCAACTACCTCCGGCCATCGCCGGGCCGCGGTGGCCTATGGCAGTAGCGGTGATAGAAGGTGGTTGTGCCTGGCGACGCAAGTGGTGGTGGCCGACGGTGGCAACCACCACCAACCACCTCCGGCCATTGCCACCATGGGCCTCCACCTCAGCAACTGCTGCCACTCACAACCTACAGCCAGTCGTCGGCACCGTCATTAATTTATAAAAGACCTTACATAATTTGAAATACATTATATTTATTTTACTTTGAACCAAACAAAAAAAAATATGAAGTGCATTTATTTTACTTCAAACCAAACAGCTCTAAAATATTTCAAATACAATACATTAATTTTGCATTCCATAAACACCACATTACTTTTTTCAGCCTACCTTATTGATAAAAAGAGGGGTATATAAAGATCATCAAACATAGTGAGTATTTCTCCAACAAAATATCAAATATCATCAAACATTGGCAAAGCTTAAGAATACTAAGAAGTAAAATATAGTGAGTATTTCTCCAACAAAATATTTCAATCAATAATGAAAATTGTTGAAATATTGGAGTAAAGCAGCCTATCTTATTGATAAAAAGAGGGGTAGATAAACCCTATTAAAAGGAGCACTCACAAGGAAAGAGATAAAAATAAAATAAAGAGAAATATAAAAGAAATAAAAATATAATAAAGAGAAATAGGAAAGCAAATAACATATAAAAAAATATGCATATTAATAACGACTAGGGAAAGTCATTATTTTAATATTCCTGTTAAACTTGAATTTGAAGTCCTCGACCAGTGGTCGAGGAAGATTCTTTGTGAGGATATACGCCAGTTGGCCACTGGTGGACACAAAAGGAATACAAATACCCTCGGACTCAAATTTTTCCTTGATAAAGTATTTGTCAATCTCCGCGTGTTTGGTATGATCATGTTAGACCGGGTTGAGGGCAATGCTAATGACGGCCTTATTATCACAGAACAATTGCAGGGGCAGAAGGTCAACATACGTAATTCACGGAGCATGCATGATTTGTAACCAAAGAGCTTCACAGATCCCAAAAGACATGGATCTTAATTCAACTTTAGTACTGCTCAAAGCAACCAGCGACTGCTTTCTGTTTTTCATGTGACAAGTTTTTCCCACACAAATGAGCAGTACCCGGAGGTAGATTGTCGATCATGGACTGATCGAGCCCAATCAGTATCTATATAAACAACAATATAATTAGAGGAGAAAAACAAACTTGAGCCCAGTGTGTCTTTTAAGTGGACATCATAGAGATGGTACTCATAGAGGTCATGCATGAATTGACTTACCATACCAACTACATGACATATGTTGGGGCGTGCAAAGGCAAGATAGATGAGTTTTCCCACAATGCTCTGGTAGCGAGTCTTATTAATAGGAACTGCATTGGGAACATCAGACAAATTTTCATAAGGATCCATTAAGAGAGCCACATGTTTGCACAGAAGTAGATTGTTCTCTGTTAACAAGTCAATCACATATTTGCATTGAGACAGAAAAATGTCCTGAGATGATCGAGCAACTTCCATGCCTAAAAAGTAACGGAGGGATCCCAAGTCCTTTCTTTCAAAGGACATAGCTAGAATGTGTTTCAAAGACTAACGTTGGTAGATTGCTTCCTGTGATCACAATATCGTCGACATAGACGATAAAAATAGTAATCTGGCCAATGAATGAATGTAGGAAAAAGAGAGTGTGATCCGATTGAGTCTGAGTAAAAGCATGAGCCACTATTACCTTTGTGAACTTGCCAAACTAGACCCGTGGGGATTGTTTTAGTCCATAGAGGGACTTTTGCAACCAACACATTTGTCCTGGGGAGGCAGTAGAGTAAAAGCCAGAGGGAAGAGACAGATACACCTTCTTTATAAGATCTTCGTTTAGAAACAC